GTAGGATAGAGTAGAACAGAGCAGCGTAGAATAAAATAATGTAGGATAGAGTAGAATAGAGCAGCGTAGAATAAAATAATGTAGGATAGAGTAGAATAGAGCAGCGTAGAATAAAATAATGTAGGATAGAGTAGAATAGAGCAGCATAGAATAAAATAATGTAGGATAGAGCAGCGTATAATAAAATAATGTAGGATAGAGTAGAATAGATCAGCGTAAAATAGAGTAGGATAGGGTAGAACTGAACAGCGTAGAATAAAATAGAATACAGTAGAGTAAAGTAGAATAGAGTGAGGTGAAGTTGAGTATAATTAAAACAAATAGAGATAATAGAGTAGGGTAAACTAGTAGAGCATAAAATTGTTTAGAATGAAGAAGAGCAGAGTAGATTAGATTAGTGTAGAGAGGAATGGTGTTGTATAATGTAGTATGGAATATAGTAAAATAGAATAATATATTATAAAGTCGTAAAGAAGAAATAGAGTAATGTATGAATCAATTTTGTTCGTCTATACGCGATATTACTGCAGTAGTACTAACCAAATATTAATGCAGTAGTTATAACCAGTTATTACTGCAGTAATACTAATCAAATATTACTGCAGTAGTACCAATCAAATATTACTGCAGTAGTACTGATCAAATGTTACTGCAGTAATACCATATCTCCAAGAGGAAAGAACCTGAAATTTTGCACCCATACTAAGTGGACCCTGTGGGTGTGCATCTGAGTATTATTACTTATCCACGTGGGCGTGTGCGTCTATTTATGAGGCAAGCTAGCGAAAAACCACACAGAAAAGAAACGTGACCGCCATAGCTCTAAGAGGAAAGAACCTATAAACCTGAAATTGTGCACCCATACTAATTGGACCCTTATCTTATCCATGTGCATGCTTGCATGCGCTTGCACATCTTTTTCGTGAGGCCAGTTAGCGAAAAAACCACATAGAAAAGAATTGGTTCTTTATATTACGAATATAGATCGCAGATAGCCAGACACGCACATGAGTGCGTATGCGCATGCGAGTGTGTCTCTTTTTTAATGAGGCAACTTATCGAAAAATCACATATAAAAGAAGTGGTTCCATATATAACAACTTCTAATGTATACAAAAGCCAGTGCGTTTTGGTAACAATGCGTTCTAACAATGGCTTTTATGTCACGTTACTCATCATCAAAAATATATAGGTTATACTTCATGCTAAAATGGGCTTAGAATACACACAATGACATAGTCACCAAAAATGTATCAACCTAATAGCCTGAGCGAACCCGGGTACTTTCGCTAGTCGATAATAAAAACGGCTTCAGCAAAATCTGTATCCAATGAAACATTTCAACATTTAGATACTAGGTTATACTCACCAGAAATACATCCAACTGTACAATTAACAATTCACATTAATTTAGGTCCTCGTCAGAAATAAAATACTGTTATCGAATCTTTACTTTTCTTTTGTTTACTTAAAGCTTTCATGACAGTAATACGTAATGGACTTTGTTTTATACTTTTAATCATTTGTAAAAAAGTAAAAGTAATCTTAACTTCAAATATTTGTGTGTGTGTGTGTTCTGACACCTCATATTGGAGGAGTATAGAACAAATCATAGTTCTTCACAACCGTGTAAGTACATTCGTCCTTGATTCTAAGCTTGTATTTATCGTAAGCTACTAATTTGAAAATCAACCAAAGAAAAATTATTTTTTTAATAAATCTTCAATTTTAACTAATCCCAGTTTTCTAGCATGGTGAAATTGGTAAGTATTTTAAGTATTTAGCTTATCAGAGCAATTTAATAGCGGATGCAAGTTAGGTTTATATCAGAGCAATTTAATAGCGGATGCAAGTTAGGTTTATATCAGAGCAATTTAATAGCGGATGCAAGTTAGGTTTATATCAGAGCAATTTAATAGCGGATGCAAGTTAGGTTTATATCAGAGCAATTTAATAGCGGATGCAAGTTAGGTTTATATCAGAGCAATTTAATAGCGGATGCAAGTTAGGTTTATA